AGATAACAAGGTCCTGAGCTCCTCGGTGATGAGAGCCGCCCAGTTCCCATCAGGAAAGCCAGCATGGCAAGCTCCCCCTGGGGAACCAAGGGCCCCTCTTCTTCCTCTCCAGTTATGCTTTTTATGTTGTTGGCAACAATCCTCCTGGAGGCCCTCCACACCCAGCACTGCACTGATTCAGTCACCTGGGTTTTTCCAGTTGACCTCCGGTTGTGAATCCACCACACCTGGGAACTTGCACATGTGAACAAGCGCTCTATCACAGAACTGCACACCAGCAGCAGTCCTCTGCATGCAGCAAGCCGGCGAAGTTTGAGACATGTTTCAACGTCAATGCTTCCAAAAAACAATGAACATTCCCACCATCCGTGCAGTGCTTCTGAGGATACCACACATGGAGTAAGGGTATAATTCACAGTGGACGAGTATGCACAACCATATAGGTTTATAGGGGTTTCAGACTCCTACTCTCACAAGCCATTTTAAGAATAGTCTTTCCTGACTGCTCTCTATGATCTTGCACAGTCACCTGTCCTCATCTGGAAGGGTGGACTTCTTTACCTAATTTTACTTGGTCCAAACTCATTATCTAGAACTTGTATCTTTTCTATATTTCATAAAACTTTTCAAACATTTAAAAACAGAGACTTTTTAAAAGCTGAATATGCTAGTACATGCCTATATTTACAAGACTTGGGAGCCTGTGGCAGGAGGATCTCCATGAGTCAAGGCAAGCTTCAAATACATACATCTCCCCAAGAAAAGCAAACACAATTGCACAACTTTTCATAGCCAGGCAGGATGCTGCATGCCTGTAATCTCAGTCAATTGGGAAACTAGGGACTCAAGGTTGTAAGTTCAAGACTAGCTTGGCTCTGTAGCAAGACTATGTCTCAAAACAGAAAGAGAAACCAACCTGAATATGTAGATCAGTGGGAGCAGGTGCTCGGTTTGATCTATACTACTCTGCAAAAAAATGAACAAAACAAAGTCCTTCCTATAAATTATTTACATTTTGAGGCAAGCTCTTTCTATATAATTCAGGCTGAT